ATAAGACTCCCACTCTCAGACTGTTCAGAAACTCATTGAACTTCCATCAGACCCTCCAGGCTTTGGATGTTGAGCCCCTGCAGTTCCGGTATTTAAATGCTTGTTTGCTTCCAAGCACACTTTTTTAATACTACTTTTCTGCTTTTAACATTATAAGCGGCTTCCACTTAGAAAGTTGGGTGGCCTCTAATTTATATCTGTCTGTTTCCATCTGAGTGGTGGAAGTCTTGCAGAAGCAGCTCTTTGTCAGGGGACATGATGTCAGTCTGTTCAGGGTCTTAAACTAGTAAGACATTATACTGTATCTGGAAACAAATTGACAGCCAGTGCAAAAATGTCAGAAGTTGTGTAATATGGTCATTGTGGGATATTCCAAAGACTAGGAAAGATCACTGCTGGTATTCAGCTAAAGGTGGAATACTATCAACTGGAGTATTTTTTATTAATAGAGATTACTTGAACTTGTCCTATACATATTTAATCTGCATGCCTTATTCTATTCACAGAGTTGTTTTTATTTATTCAGAGCTTTAACAAGTAACTCTTCCTTCAAGTCAAGTTTAACTTCCGATTACTTTATGGACACATGTACACAATTCTCATGGTAACAGGATAGAATTAATTTGCCACTGCATTTCCTGAGGTTATTTTAACTTCCCATTCTAGCCTACAACTCTAATATTTTTTGCTAACTCCCAATCAAGTATTAATCAAGTTTTACCCTTATCTTAGGAGTGCAAATTAAGGTTTGCAAAAATACCTTGTGTCTGGCAAAAAATGAGAAATAGGCAATAGATATAAAAGCAAAAGGACTAGGTACAGTACATGGAAAGAAAAAGGGAGCTGCACTGATTATGAAACTTCTATCTCTGATCACTGAAAGCTAGATCTCTTGATTTTTTTCAGAAACATGATCATTAGTATATTAAAACTGAAAGCAGTTAGTTTTTTTAAAAAAATTTTTCCTTAATCAGTTACATGTCTAACTTATGCTATGCTCATCTACGTTGTCTGACAATTTGTTGGGTACTGGAATTCTTTTTTTAATAGCTGAAAGACACATGCATTCAGCTGCAGTATTTCATTTCAAATTAGACAGCATGATATTCAAATATGAAACACAATTATGGTAACAGGGCAGACAGTAGACTACTGTATGGTAATATCATGTAGGCTTTTCTGGTTAGTTTCTACTTTTTAAAATAATTGACATTTTCACATATTGTTTTCCTAACACTATATTACAGTCAAACATTATGAGAGGTAATGTTGCAGGATCCAATCTGGGTCAGACTCGTGCTGGAGCCTATCCTTCAGCAACTTCTCTCCCCACATTCCAATAGAAAGAAGTTCCCTGAGGCTGGGCTCTAGCACGAGTCTGAAAGATCGGAAGACTAAAACCTCTAGTCTCGGCGACCGACCCAGATTGGATCCTGCAACTTTATTCTGGGACACATGTTTGCTTTCATCTGGGAAAGTAATGAACTTAAGAAACCACATTATTTGAATATTTGTGCATATAAAAGATTTTACATAATAAATTAGAATGGTAGCATTATACATATAATAAGCTTCCTTTCTCAGGTCCAATGTCAGTATTAATATGTAAGTAGATAACAATTTTTAAAAAGTTTATTTATATAGTAAATCTGGCAAGTGAATATGCAAGAATGAAGGCAAATATATTTAGGAGCCAAGGGCTTGGCAGCACAAGGAAACAACAGCCAATTGCCACACATCAACATACCAATCAGCCAATAGGAAAGCACCACATAAACACGACTCACAGAACAGCCCAACGCATGTATTCCAGTAGAGAGAAATTCCCAGAAGATATGCTCCAACATGAGTCTGAAAACTTGGAACAATAAAACTTGGGTCCTGGTGACCAACCCAGATTCGATCTCATGAATATGCAAGGTCTATCTTCCTCATCAAATAATGTGAAAAATGATGGTTATGCCAACAGTACTGACACATCTTTTTTAAACAAACTGCAGAGATATATCCGATAGAGTTATTTAAAAATCTCCTTCCTCCATATTTTAATATTACAGTAGGATTCACATGGCAATATACTTTGTGCTGTTTAAACTGATTTGCTATTTGATTGTGAGAAGATAAAGCTTTACATCATATAATACGAAATTCATTGGATTGTAGCCATTATTGGAAAGAAGTCTTATTGATTAAGTATGTGTAGTACTAGAAATCCTCTGAGGTATATTTAAAAATACATTAAATCATGATACAACAAAATAACATTATTTATCAATCAAGAAGGAATCAATTTATTTAATTCTATTCTACCACAATTCTAGGATGAAGGAACGGACAGGTACAGTTCTGTATTTAAAAGATAGATAGAAATCAGAAGGTATTTCTCCTATTATAATTACAGCATCCACCTCTAAATTTATAACATGGCAAACGATGGGCTGTTGGTTAGAGCTCCAAACTTGGCAATTTGGTTGCAAATGATTCTTCACCATTCGAGGAGACATCATCAGTACACTCTGAATTGTGCTCATCTAGTAAACCATTTACTACAGTCTGTGGTAATACTTTCAGAATTGATGAAAGACAGATAAACAGAATGATTTTAATGCTTTTAAAAAGCTGAAAATGTTAACTACATGAAAGAATTTCAAAGCTAAAATTTGTAATCTACTTATATAAATAGATAGCCCATTAAAGGTAGATCACAAGAATCACAAAGTAATCACTCACTTTTACCTTTATTAGGAAAATCGAGTTTCATTTTAAGTTTTTCATCTATAATCCTACCACATACTGATTAAAAACAAAGCTACAAACTTGCTCAATTACAAAGTAATTTTTAAAAAAAATTGGACACAGTACATTGCTCTTTTTTAGATGTTTTCAAATTTCTGCTGTTCAATTGGCAGAAGGCTATTGAGGGGAGGAGCTCATTGTCCTGTGCAATTTCTAGTCTGCTGCTGTTAAAGGAAACTGAAAAACAAGATCTTATATAGTCTGTAGTTTACAAGACCATGGTGATTTTGATGATCAAAAACTATACACTTTCCTGAAGGAAATCAGAATCAATCTTTATTACAATCACAGACCAGCACAAAAGTTAAACATTACAATAAATACATTCTCTTTAAAGTATTGAAATTTATATCCTTGAGACTACACGGCTCCTGTGGATACTCATGAACCTGGCAACACTTCCCATACCATCTGCCAGTCTCCCTTCCACTTCTATTTTTAAGTTAAAAAAAAAACCTTTAATTTTTTAAAAACAAAGCTAATTTAATAGGAAGAAAAACACTTACACATACAGGTTGCTTGTGAGGTATACTCTGGCAAATGGGTATTCTGTGACTTTTCATGCCCTCTATGGCAACCACTAATAAGTAATATAGTGACACAAATTTATATACAAAATACTAATGTTTACAGTGATTTTAAAAACATTTTAGCTTCATTGCAAGCTGACAAATCACTAAAATACATAGCATTCAAATTCATGTACGTTGTGTGTGTGTGTGTGTGTGTGTGTGTGTGTGTGTGTGTGTGTGTAAAACATGACTCATGAAATCAGACCAGTTTACTCAGCCTAGCTTCTTTCCCATAATGGCATAAAATCTATAAAAAGTGTATATAGGAGGCTAAGGCCATACCTTTGTCCTTCTGTTGCCCCTTAGCAACTGTATTCACTCTGAGAAGCAGCCATTGATATTCTTATTGTCCATAAATTGATTGAATACCCTTTAAAGCCATTTAATGTAGTAGCTATCACAATATTTTGGAGCATCTCATTCTATAAATGTATAATGCACTTTGTAAAGTATTTTATTGGGTGACTCTAAATTCCATTATTATGAGACAGAACTTCCTTGTATCTATTTTTTGTCTACCATGCATAATTTAATTGTTTCTTCCATTGATCCTCCTAAAGTAAAACTATATTGACAGGCCCATGAAATCATTACAAATTGAGCTTAAGTCAAGGGAGGCTTTAAATATTGATTTTCATTTAAAAGATTTCAGAGTTAATGAAATTCCCATCCAAGTGAGAACTGTCATTTTAAAATTAAGCAAACTGACAACTGCACCAGCTTAACTTTCAGAATCTGTAATATTCAGGATTGGATTCTAAAGATTATTGCAGCATTCTTTTAAACAATGTCCTATTTATTAAATAATCAATAATTCTACTGGGGAAACTATTATACCATAGCAAATTCACAAAGGAAAAAGGAAAATTTCATATATGTCTCAGTATTACTTTTCTGGTGTTGACTGGAACATTGCTTATGGTTTAGTACTAGGTTTAGTAATAGGACATCTGTTGTTTTCTTAATTGCAAATAGAATGATAATTATGTATAGACAAACTGGACAAAGATTGATTAGAATCTGAAAATACTGTATAGTGTAATTAATAACACTAAATGAAAGGGATTGCCGATGTCATAAACTATTATCAGAATTAGTTTTCAGAGTATTTATTTCATTTTGTATACATGTATATACTGTATATGTGTGTGTACAAGTACATATAGTGTTACATAACTCACTAAAGAAGTGTATATTATAGGATTTCCAGATGTTTCCTGTGATTAAGTCATCAATCTGAACAGCCCCGGTTCAGTAATATGCCCTAATAGAATTCTGATGTAGCTAAAATTCAAAGCATCCAAACCGCTCATTTTGTCAAGATTTGTAATATTATTCTTGAATTCATTTCAGGAAAGATGGGTGCACACACTCATATTAAGGCTGTAATCTTACAATGCTTTTGAGTAACACCAAGTCATTCAGTTTTTGAATCAGTACCCATCGGCAGCTGTTCAGATCATTCGGTCAATGAATCCCATTAGATCCACTCAGAAAAAGGTCCCTTTATCGGCGTGTCCAGAACCCCAGCTATACATTTGGTGCAGATATAGGAACAAAATGAGTGTCTGTTTCACCAATGGGACCTCAAAAACGCTCCCCTTACTTTGCAGTCTGCGGCAACGAACCCAGCCCGCCTTTCAGGAAACGAGCGGCTCTAATCCGCGCAACGAAGGAAGCCTTCGGTGGCTTTCCTGCAGTAGCAAGAAGAGCCCCACAAGGCAATATCCGTTGCCGACCCTGCCCCACGGCATGGGGTTAATTCGGCTTCCTGAACATGGAGGCTCCTTCTCTTTCCTGGGCAGCTCCAGACTTTTCCTACCGAGACGAGAGAAGGACAGAGCTTCATTTTCAGCGTAAGAGTCCCTGAGAAGCAGGCGACCGTCTTCGGCTTGAAGAGCACGTGTTGATATCCACACCCCAGGAAGAAAGGCGCCACCTCAGACTGGCGTCTGGACCAGAGGAGAACAAGAGGGGAAGGGACAACAACATCCCGCCACGCCATTCCCGATTGGCAGCTCCGCGCTTGAACTGGAAAGCAGGAAGAGAGGGGGCAGCCGCGGTGGCTGTCGCGCGCATGCGCACTCCAGAGGTGATGTCTCGGGCTTCCTTCCTCTTGGCTCCTCCCACTCCCAGCCTCCGTGGTGGTAAGTCTTTCCCTCAGCGGAAAAGCAGTCCGTGGCGGGAGGGGGGAAAAGAGCGGAGTGGCTCGAGCGCAGGCTGTTGCCTTGCCTTGCGGGGATCCGCCGCCAGTCTCGCGAAGGGAGTCGAGCGCGCGCCTGCCCGGGACTGAGCGACCCATCGGCTGCGGGGCAAGGGTGGGTGGCTGCGCCGTGCAGAGGTGGCGGAGAAGGGGCGGTGCGTTGCTCCGATAGCGCTGTCGACGGGGTTCATTGTCGCCGGGGCTGAGCGAGGTAAGCGAGTCTGCTTCTCTTCCTCCCACTGCTCCTTCATCCATTGCCCGGGGGGCGGGGGTGCTCCGTCCCTACGGAGGGCATCCTTCCTTCTCCTTCCCCAGAAGAGCCTGGGCATCGTGAAGGGGAACTGGGCGACAGGTGCAAGCAGGGAGAGGGACCGCCGTACCGCGCTGCCTACTGCTGCTCCTGCTGCTGTCCAAGGTCTGTGCTGTGTGGTCGCCCCTTCTCGGCTCGCCTTTTCCGAGGGTTGTAGAGGGAAGGGCGAGAGGGCGCAGAATCTCTTCCCTCTCCTCGGCTTGGCCGGCCCCGGTCCTTTCTCCACGCACTCGCACAGACTGCACTGCAGCTCCCCATGGCAACGACCTCAGGGGACGGTGAAGTCCGGAGGGCACCGATTGCATTCAGACCGGGCGCCTGGAGATGTCAAGTTTAACCTTGCACAAATTTTCCTTCGTTCTTTTTTGAAACGCCGTAATTCGGTTCAAGTAGGGAAGCGGCAGGAAGCGGGCTCTGCTGAGTGTCCTCCTGTCTGGTATGTTGGAGTTTGGGATTTACCTATATCCGAAACTCTACCGAATGGCTATGATAATGGCTGTATCATTAAAATAGCGCCCTCCTATCTGCAGTCTTTGAAAATGGTTCAGGCCATATTGTCATTTAAGGATGTGACATGTGTTAATGAGGCCTGTGGGCCAGCCTGGGACATACTGAGAAGAAAAACTGGAGCTATGTCTGCATGCAGAGGATGGGAAAGACCACCTGAGCTCTAGCCACTATTTATACAGATAGATGGATGTTTCTGCTTTGTAGAGCACTGCCATACTTTTGCAGATTGATAAGGCTTTCAGAAGATAGTGGGTTTCTTATATTTCATTTCTATGTCTATGTCCATGTTGATATATCCTAGAGGTGGCAACTAGCAATAATGATTTAGGAAATAAATGAAATAAAACTTTATGCCATAATAAATATATCACTCATTGTTAATAGCTTCAATACTCTGTTTTTGCCATAGTGGGCTCCTGAAATGATTTCATTAATAAAATTTATCTTGATCTTATCAAATTCTTTCCTTCCTGAAAATCTAACAAAATAACCAAGACAGTTGACCAACTGACCATTTATATTGCCTTTTGTACATCTGTTGTTATTTTCCCAGTAACATAGATATGGTAATTTTTACTATAGGTAAGATACTTAATGTATCCTATTCTTACATAAGTACATTTATTTTTGCTTTTAGAGAATGGACAATAACAGCTCAGCTGCTTTACAAATACTGAACAAATGTTTAAAACTAGTTGGCAGTTTAGTTATCTGTAGAAATGTTCAGTGATACAGTAAAATATCAGATGTGGTTATCAGAATATGTTGTGATACTCTTAGAAGGGTTTCTATTTGGACAATAATGGAAATGAGAACTTTTCTAGTTCTTTTTAAAAGGAAATGAGTAAATAAAATGACAGCTTTTAAACATAAATTGTGAACCAAAATTCATGTGCTTTTTAGAGATTCTCATTAGTTGCTTCCAAGAGAAAAGGTGAAACATTTTACATCTTTGAACTTGATTGGGCAACTTGATTTACAAACATTTCTTTTAATGTGTTTTGAGAATTCACAGAATAGTGATAGCAAGAATTGAAACCTTAGAATAGCAAGATGAACCTTAGAATAGTAGAAATGATTATATATTGTAATAACTGTGAAAAATAAGAGATAAAGATCTTGTAGTTGCAATGTGGAAATTAGTATAAATGTGAGGCTTATTGAAAGTATATCTCCATATTTCCTAACACCTGGTTATTAAGAAACAATAATAAAATGCTATACATAGTAATAGAGTGGAAGAATAGAATATTAGAGCCTTTACCGAAGAGCGTGGATTCAAACTGTGCATTTACCTGTGTACAAGGTTTGCATGCATAATATATCAGGTTCACTCTTCATTATTTCTCATTCTACTGCTCATGGAGAGAAACCTACTTCAAACCCTGTGGAATTGCTGCCAATCCAAATAGATAGTATAGATGAACCAGTGACCTCACTTAGTGTAAGGCAGCTTCTTGTATTCTAGTAATTAGTTTTCCTAAGAATCTAAAATGATTTCAAAACAGTTCAAGATAATATATTTTGATGTGTCAATACTTACAATGCCACAGAAATGTCAAGATTTGCTCTGTAACATCAATAAATTTTGGTGTGGGAAAATCTTTCAAAATCTCACCAAGAGATAAATATGAATGTGAAATTAAAAGCATTCAGACTATCATTTGTGTTTAATTTTGTTTGTTTTTTCCTTTACATTTATATCTGTATAATAGTTACATTATATAATAATTTTATATAATATTGTTTTGAACATACATGCAAATTAATATTCTATACATGTTATTAATTAAATATTTACCGGTCACATTTTATGAGCATAATATTTTATACCCTCCACAAATCTTCATCAGAAACAGGTCACTTTAATTCTAATTTTTCATACCATTTAAGTTTATAATGTAACTATTTACTTAGTCAACACAAACATTTTGTATTGTTTGAGTACTACTGAGTTGTAGTATTTTATTTTTAGCAATATGTCACTGAAATATTTTATTTAATAGAAAAAGCTTTTATTATAGTAATAATTCACGCTTGTATACTTCATTCTGAACCTTTGTGGAAGTGAATGTAATCTGCTAAAAATGAGTGCCATGACCAATTCCAAGGAATACAATAAATAGTAATCCCTTTCATTTTTAAATCTTGGAGGATACTATCTTATGTTACCATTGTTTATGGCCAATAGATATGATAATATTAAGGATGGATAGATGGATGATTGGATAGTTAAATAGTATGATTAATATATCAATTATATATAAACATTAATATTAATCAAAAGAATAAATAATATAAAATGCCAGAAGTACAGATAAAATTAAAGCTATTATGTATTAACAATATTAACAAATAATACTTTGAGTGAAAGCCAGCATTATGGTCTTAGAACTGCCTTTGCATAATGATATTTTAAAATATGCTCTGAAGGATTAGGAAGCAGACTGAGTAGTATAGTGGACTCTAATGCAGAGTTAATTGTTTCCTTTCCCATTTTGTAAATAGAAACATTTCCAGTTACAAGAACACAGCAGTTTGTTTCATCTGTTATGTGTCATATAAAATATGTAACCTTCTAGTCGCTAAATGCAAACAAAGCTTTTTTACTGGTAAGAAACTCATCAACCTCAGCCAGCTCCCATCTAATTCTGAAGTCACTTGGCTGACCTTATAAAAATTTTGGGGAAAAAAGCATAACTTTGAATTGTATAGAATAAACTATAAAATGTATTGCATAATGTACTAGATTTTACCTGATGCAGAAACATAAAGAAAGCATTGTTAAATGCTGTGCACTTACAGTGGCTATCAATATATTCTGGAGGCATAATTTGAAATCTTACAAGTTCTAGAGAAGAAAGTCTGTTTCTGTAAATACGTTGCTATTTTACCAAGCGATTTAGATGAAATATACTTAATTATAATTTTCCCTATTTGGCACCATCAGTGAAACCCAAAAGATATTGCATCCTGAGATGGTAACCTGATAGGTAATCCATTAATTTAGCATTAAATTATGTAAATTACAGAATTGTAGCCTGTCTTCTTTCTTTATTCTGCTAGTCGAAACAGCACAATTTTATTAAATAAATATTTTTCCAACTTTTATATTACTATTGATGTATAAATATTTACATTTTAAAAAACGAGACCCACATCTATTCTAAATACTGCATCAGTAGTATTGTGTAGTACTGCCAGAAGTATATGCAAAAACATATTCTGCATTATATCAAATTAATTTATTTCTACATGGGATTTTCAACATCAACACATATTTTAGCATTGCTTCTAACAGTTGAAAATTCTCAGTATAGCTTATATGTGGGTTGATACAGAATTTACTGACACAAAATGAGTATGCAGTTAGGTACAGCTGGCACTGCACATTGTAATTATTCAGTAACCATTTATAATGGCCATAATCTTGGAAAATGCCACCACTTTGTAAACAAACAGACCTTTCTGTTTACAATAAAATCCAGTTTTAGAAAATAATCGCATTGAAATAATGAAATAGCAGCATAATATCTGCTTAAAGAGTCAATAGAACCTTTTGAGTACCAATTGAAGAAAACAAAAAGAAAGGATGGTTTCTTCAACTATTCAATTTAATATATAGAATTTTCATCTGTTTTCAGTAATTGAGAGATGTACAAACTCTTGATGGCTAAACTCTAAATGTGTAGAGTACGCTCACAATAAATTGCTATCCAACAGCAGCATATTTCTTATTAAATCCAGCCTGCAATGAATATTAAAGCTAATATTCACTTACTAATTTTTGTTGTTTTCTAGCAGATCTTATGGACATTTTGGCAAGGGTATTCAAAAGGCTTATTCTGCAGTGGTCCTTAAAATCACCTCCAATGAACTTGTGTTAAGATTGGAACAAATGTATAACCAGACACCAAGCAATACTATATTTCTGTTGAATTAACTAAAGTTATAAAAAGGTTTAGACCAATTTGAACAAAAATTAAGATAGTAGAATATGTGGTTCCTATGGCTTTACCAAGATGGATTTTTTTCAGTGAAGTGTTTTATTTTTATATCACTTACAGGTATCTAGTTTGGTAGCATCTCTAAAGTAATTATACAGATTATTATTTTGCTCCACA